AATCCTTTCTTTTCAGCTAATCCAGTGCCTTTTTGGGCCACTTCAGACAGGGCCCAGCAGTACAGGAACCAAGAGAAAGCTGTGAGTACAGAGGCTTGTAGTGTTCGCACCCACATTCCCACTGCCAGGACACCCTTCCTTGTTAGGGACCCCCCTCCAGAGACTCCACCAGGAATCTTCATTCCTCCCTCCATCTGGGACTCCCCCTCCTTCTTACCCTCCACTCCTTCCCTCCACTTACATCCCCTTCCCTCTTCCATTCCAGGACCTTACCCTCAAATCCCTATGCCCAAAGTAGGCACTCCTGGCTTGGAGCTCAAACTAAGCTCTCTCTCTCCCCTCTCAACCCCCAAAGGGCCCCCATCTCTCAGGGAGCCCCTTCCACTCAGCATGTGACTGATGCCCTGGAAACAGGCCTCAGCTCTGCTGACTTGGCTGCTGGGGCCTGAGGGAGGGAGAGGGAGGGAGGTGCAGGCTGAGGGGCATGGAGGCCTAACCTGCCCACCCTGCACAGGTCCCTGATGCTAGATGAGGGGAGCTCATGCTCAGCACCTGCCAAATTCAGTGCCTGCCCCCTGTCTGGTGCTTTCATCCAGGACCCCTACTTTATCCAGTCGGTAGGTGTTGTTCCCTTCTCCTCCTTTTCCTAGGGTGCAGATAGAATTGTGAAGAGCTTGTTTCTTCTCCCTATCCCCCCCCAAAGAAAGATGGACACCAACATTCTACCAACCAGACCTAGGCTCCCCAGCCCCTTAGTCCTGATGCAGGTGGGTGCTGGTTGGGCTCTTTCTATAACTAAAGGCCAAGGGCTGCCCAAGCCTTCTACTTACAGCCCCTCCCAGAGGCTACCTTGGGCCTCAGCCCTCACAGGGCCAGAGGGCCCATCATCTCTGACATCCCTGAAGATGCTCCATCTCCTGAAGGGCACAGGCTTTCTCCCTCCAGTGGTGGCAGGAGGTAAGGAGGACAGGGGCTGTCTTCTGGGGACCCTATGGGAAAGAGTCTATAGCCCAGAGGCCTGTGGGGGTGGGGGAGAGGTCAGTGTCAGGGTCTGGTTGAAGCTTTTCTCTGGTGCAGGGTGAAGGGCCTGGCACTGCTCAAAGAAGAGCCAGCCAGCCCAGGGGGGGATGGAGAGGCCGGGCTGGCCCTGGCCCCAAACGAGTGTGACTTCTGCGTGACAGCACCCCCACCGCTGCCTGTGGCTGTGGTGCAGGCCATCCTGGAAGGGAAAGGGAGCTACAGCCCTGAGGGGCCCAGGAGTGTTCAACAGCCTGAACCAAGGGGCCCCAGGGAGGTACCTGACAGGTGAGCAGACCAATGTTGATGATTTATAGATAGATCCATATGTACTGGCCAAAGAAAAGTCACTGCTTTATCTGTCCTGTGGTAGCTAAGGGAGGACATTGGGCATCAGACTCCATGACCCTGACCTGATTTCTCAGAGTATGCTCCAAAGAGTATCAAAATTATTTAGAAGATGGAAACTCCCAATCAAGTCACTAAGCACTCTGTAGTAGGACTCTGGGATTTACAGCTGAAATTAGTTCATTGGAATGATTATAATATACAGTGGCTTACTATCAAAAGTAGTTGGTCTTAGTGGCACAGGGGTGTCAACCCAATTACTTGAGAAACTGAGGCGGGAGTATCACAAGTTCAAGGCCTACCTGGGCTACAGTGTGAACTCAAGGCCAGTGTTGGTAACTTAGTAAATATAAAAGGAAGATCTGACAGGATGGTTCAGCAGGTGAAACCATGGTCAAGAGGAAGGAGAGAATTAACTCCACAAAACTGTCCTCTCTGGCCTCTATACATGACCCACTCCAAGACACATAATAATAATAGGTAAAATAAATCTGACAGGCAGTGGTGGCGTACAACTTTAATCCCAGCACTCAGGAGGCAGAGGCAGGCAGATATCTGTGAGTTCAGGTCAGTCCTGTCTACAGAATGAGCTCCAGGACAGCCAGAGCTGTTACATGGAGAAACCCTGTCTCCAAAAACCAAATAAATAAATAATTAATAGAAATAAAGGAAAAGGGTAGCTAGGCTGGAGACATAACTTAGTGGTCGAGTCAGTGCCTAACATGCTCAAGGCCTAAATGCAAACTCATATGGAACACATAACCTTTACTAGCCAGGTGAGGGTGGCACACGCCTTTAATCCCAGCACCTGGGAGGCAGAGGCAGGAGGATCTCTGAGTTCAAAGCCAGCCTGGTCTACAAATCCAGTTCCAGGACAGCCAGGACTGTTACACAGAGAAACCCTGTCTCAAAAAAACAAAAACAAAAACAAACAAACAAACAAAACCAAAAAACTCTTTACTAATATTTACACTTCTATAGGAAAGGAACATCTCCCAAGATCTTAGGTAGGAAGCAAAGGCAAATCAAGGTAACCTCTTAGGAGCATGGTGACATCCCCCGGCTGTAATGCCAGCACTATGGAGGAGGTGGTGGCAGCAGGGTCAAGAGTTCAAGGTCATACTTAGCTAGTAAAGTTTGTGGATGGCCTAAACTACACAAGATCAAACAACAGCACAGATACCCGGTTAGCACCCAGGAGTTTGAGACAAGAGATTGCTGTGAGTTTGAGGCCAGCCAGGGTTACATAACAAGTCGTCTCACTCCCACAAAAGTTTTTAAAAAAAGGAAAAAAAAAATCCCCCCTACTAGGGAGAGGATTGAAGAAAAGTATTGTCTCTTAGCATATTCTAGTTGTTGGAACAATTTAAATCTGATGATTCAAGTTCCTTAGGAACTAATAGGAGGTGGGTATTATAGACCAATAGCAGTTCTTTGTGCACAGGGGAACTCTGGGCCTGGATAGGGGTAACCGGAGCCCAGAGAGTCTGCTGCCCCCAATGCTGCTTCGACCTCCCCCTGAAACTGTGGAACCCATAGCACCCATGGATGTAAGTATCTTTGCCTGGGGCAGGACATGAAATACATGAAGTTGAGCAGTCTGTGCAGCCTTTAAAGGCACCACTTACCAGAGCTCTTCCCAGGTTCTGGGCCCTAGCCTGCAAGGACGAGAATGGACCCTGATGGATTTGGACATGGAGCTGTCTCTGGTAAGAAAGGAGTGGCTGAAGGTTGGTTTGGTTCATGGCTGAAGGATTGCCCCGGTGATTCCTCAGCTCTCTTCCTCAACTTCTGGGCCCCCTTCTCAGCGGCTTCCTGGGGTTCTCTCATGCAGATGCAGCCCTTGGCTCAAGAGAGGGTTGAGGCTGAGCTGACAGTCAAGGAGTTGAATTCTTCAGGTGTAGGTAATGGTGATGGGGACCCCTGGGCAGAAGCCACCATGATCTGAATTACCATGATTGGGTGGGCTGGGCAGCTTAGGTGGGGTAAGGATGAGCCTGAATTCAGGCTGCCTTGTAGAGTCGCCTAGAGTCACCCATACTGCCATCATTGTGTGAGAGTGGTAGTGTCAAGAATGACGTTTTAAACTAGATATGGTAGAGCGTGCTTATAATCCCAGGACTTGAGAGTCTGAGACAGGACGACCATGAGCTCAAGGCCAGTCTGGGCTATGCAGCAAGACAGTAAGACCGGGCCTTTAAAGCGTGTATGTGTGTGGATAATGTTACATCCTAACTGAAGGAGGGCTCTCCTAAGCCCAGCCTACTCCTCCTAGGAAAAGACCACACGCTGGGAACTCCACTGCTGCTGGACATTCCCGCAGATTTGGAGGGTGCAGCCCTGCCAGTGCCTGGGGCTTTAACCCTTTACAATGCCCCTGAAAGCAGTGCCTCCTACTTGGACCCTGGAGCCAATCCCTCTTCCCCTTGAGGCTTCCACCTCTCTTAAAAGCCTGACAAAGGACCCAGCACGCAGCAGCACACCCCTTCAGGCTTCTCGGCGTCCCCTCCCCGGGCGGGGGGGGGGGGGGGGG